AAAAAAAAAAAAAAAAAAAAAAAAAAAAAAAAAAGCGTACAAAATGGATGTTGCTTATTGCCATCAGCCAAAGTAACAATCACGTGGTAGGTACGGTCACGTTTTTTTTTTTTTTTTTTTATTATTTACAGCCTGGCTTTGTCCCACTTTTATTTTTTTTTATTAATAATTATTTTTACTTTGAGCAAATTACTAATTACTATTTGTATCAATAAAATATTTTTTTCAATATTTGAACGGTAAATACTCTAAAATTAAAATTAAGTGTATTTGATTTTGAGTAATTATAAGTGAGATAATTTATAGAAAATATATAAATGAGAATAAAATATACTAAAATGTTCCGTGTTAATTTGTAGAAAATATTAGAGTGAGTTAATTACAGGAACAAATTTTTATTCATATATATATTTATTAGAAAAATGAAAAAGAAGGAATGAAACGTTATCAAATGAATATTTAATAATCACTATCACCTAGATCGAGAATCTATATTACGTTCGCATTACTATTAGACAAAAATAAAATGTGCTTAATTGGAAATGAATAATATATTTTTTGAAAAAAAAATTAATAAATTATACGAGAGTTAGTTGAATTTTAAGGATGTTTTATAATTAATGACTACAATAATTAAAATAACCTCTATTTTTCTTATATATTATTCAATCGGCACGCACTTATTTTATTCTTATTAGTGCGTGAAGATAATTACCTCCTAACTTAATTCGATTCACACGGAGTCTGATTCCAATCGAGATCCTTCTAGAAGGTGCTTAGAAGGCTTAGGAGAAGTAATATGGATTATAGACTATTGGATAGTCTAAAATTGTCGAGATTTGCGCAATAATGCAAATGTGAAGATACCGAATTTTATATCTGGTCTTTCTTTGAATTTACGGGAGTTTCAAGGAGCTAGATCATGAAAGTTTAGTATGATGATCTAGAGAATATACAGCTAATGCAATTTACATGTAGACCTAGATCAGTATGTTTCCAGTAGATCTTACATCCCAGTATCGTGAGTGATCATAGGTTTAGGCCAAACGTCCTAGAAACAAGAAAAGGTGTTTAAACCATCTAGACGCCCCTAAGAACCTAATAGACCTCCACAACATCTAGATACGATTAAAGTAGCTTATTCGAACCTCGAGAAGTTAAGTTACTATTGAATGTAGAGTCGAGTAGGGCTGACGCCGTTATCTCGTTAAACCGGTTCTGAAGAAGGACTAAAGACTACGCAAGTAGTTAGCTCAAGATAGGGACTCCTATTGAGTGTAGAAATGGGTGAACCCGTAAACCAATCCTAGTTGGACTTGGGACTACATGGGTAGGCATCTAGATGAGAACCCCTGTTGAGGGACTACATGGGCAGGTGGTTTAGGGTGAACACTTCTACTGTTTGAAGGAACAAGTCACGTTGTAAACCAATTTTGAAAGGGGACTAGGGACTACATAGGTACACGACTCAGGATGAATCGATTGGAACTTCGAGACCTACACAAAAGCTTAGAGCGTTGTAAGGGAGTAGGTCTGAACCTCCTAAAACCAGAGAAAAGTCGTGGAAACCTACTATGAGATGGAGACGATGAGAGCATCCATATGGAATGTAGGATCCCCTCCCTAACCGATGTGAGATCTCACACACTGTGTAACACTAGTTGAGTGCACCGTGCAAAGGTATCATAAAACTTTTAATATTACATTGGAACAGGAACTTAGAAACTTCTTGGTTTTGCACAGACAATGAAACTTACAGGAACTAAAAACACAGACAAACAACAAAGATTCTGTCCTTGAAATGCTCAACCTCGGAACTTACAAGCTATTTTGAGCTCTTCAGCTGGTTTGTCCCCAGCAAATCCACTGTCAACCCAAGCAGAGTAGCCTCCTGCCATGTTCTTCACATGCTCATACCCCTGAAATCTCCCAATAAATCTCGTTACTTAATCATGCTTGTTAACCTTACAATTTAGTTCTATGAACCTCGAATCTCACCGCGTTACGAAGATCGATGCAAGCGCGATGTCCTCTACCACCACTGTTGCAAGCCTGCAAATTTGTTCAATGATCTACTCCTTAAATCTGCATTGGGATGCAAAAATGGCGAGAAATATGTTTTTTTTTCTTCTTACCACTACTACATGATCTTCCTTCTTCAATATAGATGTAACTTGTGCTAGAAAGTCAGGATTCTTTACTCGACCTGTTCGTTGGCAAACGTTCAGATTCTATAAGATCAAACGATGTATCTAGATCAATGTGTAGCAATACAGAACATCCTAAGACAGTAGTTTTGTTTTTTTGTGAGAACTTAGAATGAAACATTTCTTATAAGAGTGTAAAAACTTCTCGATACATTTTAAAACTTTTTAGGAAAGTCCAAAGAAGAATACATTTACTAGTAGTAAGTTTGGGTTATTAAAAATGATATCAAAGTCAGATACTAGGTATTGTGTTAGTGAGGACGCTTGGTCTCCAAAGGGAGTGCATAGTGAGATCTCTCATCGATTGGAGAGGTAGACACGGAGGATCTGCAAATGAGAACGTTGGGCCTCCAAGGGGGTAGATAGTGAGATCCCACATCGGTTGGAGAGATAGATACCGAGCGGTGTGCCAGCGATGATACTAGGCTCCCAAGGGGGGTGGATAGTGAAATCCCACATCGGTTGGAAAGGAGAACGAAACATGTCTTATAAGGGTGTGGAAACCTTTCCTTAGGGGACGTGTTTTTAAAATTTAGAGGGGAAGCTCGAAAAGGGAAAAACCCAAAGAGGATAATATTTACTAGCGGTGGGCTTAGGTTGTTTCAAATGCTATCAGAGCTAGACACCGATGGTGTACTAGCAAGAACGTTGGGCCCTAAAGTGAATGGATTGTAAGATCCTACATCTCCCTAACGAACGAGTTTTTAAACTTGAGGGGAAGCCCGAAAAGGAATGAGGATGGATTGTGAGATCCCATATCTCCCTAGTAGACGCGTTTTAAAACCTTAAAGGAAAGTTCATACGCAAAAAAATCTAAAGAAAACAATATCTCCTAGTCGTAGGCTTTCAGGTATTCATAATTACCTTCTGAGGTCAAGAACATGTAAGGAACATTGAGTGCATTCTCAACGTGGGCCTTGTTATACTCTTCAACAGTCCTGCACCCAAAATCATTCATCAATTACCTCTTCTTCTTGGCTTTGACAGAAGATTATTATAACAGAAGAACAAAAGATCTGACCTGACATCCAAATAAAGCTGCCCCTTCTGCAACAGATCTTTGGCAACTTCAACATCAACAGTCACAACATCCTCTGGCCTGCAGATTAGCAATGAACACACGAGTTATTGATATCAAACTCTTCTTTAATATCGAAATGGGTAGCATTGCAGAAGTTAGTTGATATCAACCTCTTCTCAGACTCCATCTTTGAAACACCACACAGATTCTTCGCTTCAGCTTTCCCAACAACCTCTTCTTGTTATAGATGATCAAGCTTGCAAAATGCAACCTTGTCGTTGACTTTGATCATTTCTACGTTATCCTGAACTCATCATCATTGAGTATTTAATTAACAAATTGGCTTGAATTTGCAGGTTCATCACCGTTGGATATAGTTCTTATTAGATTCCTTCAAACCATTGGCTCTAAATCATTTTCATGATCCGACTTTACTTGTTTGACTTTTGAGTTGTTTTTTAAGGATGAAATAAAATGTTTTTATTTATTTAGTTTGTTGGTCAACCATTCATTTTCATTAGTTAAATGATAAAAAAGAAAATAAATTACTCATCATACACAACCATTTCAATAGTACGGGTGCTGCCGTGCCACGAGGCACGACTATGGAAGTAATGAAAGAGTATCCGATTGAAACTAAATTTAATGAGCTCTCATCTTTCATATAGAAGATCTTAATTTCAAAGCTGCATGTCGAAATCCATATCGAAACCCGACTTCTGAGGTTATGGCTCAAGGCCCTATTCGACCCTTTTCGAACTTGTCTTCAACACTCTTACGCTTTGTTCTTTCGAATCTTACGTATGCCTCGACTTAGCTTGAGTGCACACTCTTAATATGTTGGATGATGCGTCCGAGGACAATGGTGCATCATGATACTTTTCAATCTTAACTCTCACGTGATTGGATGGACGCCACTCGAAGGTCACTCCATGTTTGCCTTGCGTGTGGGCCCACACAACCTAAAAGTTTATATGTGGAATAATTATGACAAAATTCATAATCTAATATATATATATTGTCAACTTCTCCCTACCCAAGATTATATACCGTGAGCCGTTATTATTTCTCTCTTGGTTGCTTGTACAACGTCTCTTTCAAAAATCTCTCTTTTGAAAATCTTTCTCTGCCCTCGCTTTCTAAAATCGAGACCAAAGGCTCGAGCATACGTCGCTTGGCCGTAGGCGACGCAAGAACGAATTGACTTAGCTCACTTATGGTTGAAAAGTGAGTGCCGCACAATCGTAAGTCCGCTGCCAGCAAAAGTGCGATTGTGGCAAGTGGTATCTATATATATATATACCCACCTAACACATCTTATTCTATTATTAAGACAAGCACTGAATAATTCACAATTATTATACATATAAGTATTAATTTCTTCATAATTGAGAATTATTTATTTGCAATAATCTAATTTAAATAATTTAAATAAATAAATATTTTAAAACGATAAAAAATCAATAAATTATTATTATCAGAACAAAAGGTAAAAGTGGGAGCCAGACAAAATGAATTGGCACGATGATGCAGACAAGGTTCGTGTCTTGGCATTACCTTCATCCACCACGAGCCTACACGCTCTTGATCCTATCTTCTCCATCTGCACCCTCCTCCTTCAACGGAGCTTCACCGCCGCCGCCGAAACCGCCGTCAATTTCACCTCTAACCCAAAGCTCCTTATTCAGCCATTTTCATTCCCACTGTAAACCAGACCAGAGCTTCACCCACCATTGTCGAACCATGAGCTCTAATCCCTTTCAATCTCACACCCTTTTCCTTCTTCTCTAGTTCAATTCCCCTCTCCCATGGCCGCCATTGAAGAACCCACCAAGCCCACTTCCCTCTACGACTCCCCATCGGCGTCTCAACCCCTCCTCTCCAATCCCCCTGAATCCGACTCATCTCAGTATCTTCAGATCTCCTACAACCTTGGCGACAGGCCGTTCAAGGACATCCCCATCCTTGTTCTTTTCCTTCTCTTCGTTTTATCTTCATTTGGGTTTGGGATTTTCGCCACTTTTAATCGAAACCCCAATTACCCAAATCTCTCTTCTTATCACTATGATATCAAATCCTCCAATTGTGTTACGGATTCCCCCAATTGGGTTCCTCTGTACTCCTCTTCTTCCTCTGTTTTGAAATCCTTGATTTGGACCCTTGTAGCTACTTCGATTTTAAGCTTACCCATTTGCTTTCTTTTACTTCTCTTGCTTAAGCACTACACGAGACAGATTGTGTACGCCTTACTTCCTTTCTTCGTCGTTGTTCCTATCTTCATCAATGTCTATTGGTTCGTCGCCTGTACAATTAACCCCACTTGCAGTAACGACTTCCCGATGGTGTATAGGATTTTAGTTCTCATCTTCATATTCTTGGTGATTGGTGTAATCGTGTGGATATTCATCGTTAATTGGCACCGAATTGAGCTCACGATTAAAATCATTGGGGTTGCCGCGGATGCACTGTCGATGAATCTGGGTCTGTTTGTGGTCATACCGAGTATGACGCTGGGGTTACTGGTTTATTATGCGCCAATTGTTCTGTTCTTGGTGTTTGCGAGGTTGAATGGGAAGATTGTGCCCGATCACCATGGATCGAGTGGAGAGTATGCTTGTGTTTGGAAGGAAGACAAGTGGGTACCTGCTTATTATGCATTGGCGATTCTTACGATGTTGTGGTCTGCTGCTGTAATGGTGGAAGGGCAAGTTTATGTGATTAGTGGTACCATATCGCAGTGGTATTTCTCGAATGAAGAGGATGACACTCCAAGACGGAGTATTAGGAAGTCTTTAAGGTTAGTATCTACTAAATTTTGTTCTGTTGAATAGATTCATGGCTTTCTTGTTTTGAATTTATTTGGTGTTCTTGATCTTTATCATTCTCTTCCAATACTGCATGATCTCATTGGCAATTATCTTAACATACTCTTTAGTGATGTTCTGAGCCTTGTTGATGAATTCAGTAGTGAAATAATCTAGATCCAGTGACTTGTTCTCCTCGTACCCATTATTGCTGTCAAAACCTCCTCAATGAAAGGGTCGTCCAACCTTTTGTTGCTTTTCTCTAGGATGGTGCTACAGATCCAACCCTCTCCGAGTAAGAACCCCTTTGTAACAGCGCAAGCCCACCACTAGCAGATATTGTCCGCGCCTTCAGCCTCACGATTTTAAAACGCGTCTACTAGGGAGAGGTTTCCACACCCTTATAAGGAATGTTTCATTCCCTTCTCCAACTGATGTGTGATCTCACAATCCACCCCTCCTTGGGGGCCAGTGTTCTCGTTGGCACACTGCCCGATGTCTGGCTCTGATACCATTTGTTACAACTCAAGCTCACTGCTAGTAGATATTGTACGCTTTGGCCCGTTATGTATCGTCGTTAGCTTCACGGCTTTCACACACCCTTTGAGCAATGTTTCGGTTCCCTCTCCAATCAATGTGGGATCTCACACTCTTTCCCTTGAGCTTTAGTGTTGAGATGAACAAAGAAGATGAGAAACTTTGGTTCAACATCCTTTTTAGGAATCTGCTCCCTTTTGATTTTAAGATTACTTGAATGAACCAGGGGGTAGACTATTGTTCAAATTAGTAGGGAAGCCAAGGTTTTGGGGTACCTAGACCAAATGTTGGAGCAGAAACACACCTCTGTAGGCTTGTGTGACAAGAAAGAGGAGCTGGAGGAGAAGACTAAGATTGATATCAAAGAGGAGACGAGGTCTCTGTTCAATGAAGATAAGAAGAAAGGAGTTGAGAAGCATCCATATTACAACAAATTGATTTGAGTCGGTTTTTGTGGCTAATGGGGAGACATGTTGTGAGATCCCACATCGGTTGGAGAAGGGAACGAAACATTCCTTATAAGGGTGTGGAAACCTCTCGCTAGCAGACGTGTTTTAAAACTTTGAGGTTTACAACGATACGTAACGGGCCAATCCTTACTTTTGTTCTTGTACTCTTTAACTTTTTGTCATTGCGTTTCTTCCTAGTTTGATTGTATTAGTTAGCTGATTGACCAGCCTTTTCTTTTTCTAAATGAGAATTGAAACAATGTATGTTAGACAGTGTTGGGATCAGTTATGATCATTGATTCTTATGCTGGCCATTGCTCATTTGCAGGAATGCATTTGGCCCCTCTGCTGGCACTATATGTTTATCTGGATTACTAATTCTTGTGGTGCGTGTTGTTCGTGCTGTGGTCGATAGTGCAAGACAAGAAGATATTCCCGGGATGTTCAACCTTATTTTACGTTGCTGCGTAAATACGTTTCTGGCAGCTGTTGATTATCTGAACAAATTTGCAATAACTTTTGCAGCAATAACTGGTGAAGCTTACTGTTCATCTGCAAAAATGACATACGAACTCTTGAAACGAAATCTCCTTTCAACTGTTTTTGTCGAGACAATCTCCACGCGTTTGTTAGCTGGAATCGCCTTTGTCGTCTCAGCCATATATGCAATTGTGGTACGTAAACAGAAAAGGGCTGTGTTTATGTTTAGCCATGTACAAGTCAAGATTTTTCTTCCCCCATAGTTTTATGCTGCAGAAGCTTACAAGGCCAACTTTTTTTTTCTTTTTCGGTCTACCTCGAACACTATCCTCGTTGAGTTTTGCCCTTTCGTTATGTGAGATCCCACCTCGGTTGAGGAGGGGAGCGAAGCATTCTTTATAAGGTGTGGAAATCTCTCCCCAGCAGACGCGTTTTGAAAACCTTAAGGGGAAGCCCAAATAGGACAATATTTGTTAGCGGTGGGCTTGGGCTGTTATGAATGGCATCAGAGCCAGACACCGGGCGGTGTGCTAGCGAGGACGTTGGGTCCTGAAGGGGGTGGACTGTGAGATCCCACATCGGTTGGAGAGGGGAACGAAACATTCTTTATAAAGGTGTGAAAACCTCTCCCTTGAGGGAAAGCCCAAAAGGGAAAGTCCAAAGAGGACAATATCTGCTAGTGGTGGGTTTATTTAAATAATACGAAGGCTAGTACCCTTCGAGAAGTGATTGGTTTCCCTCCATGGAAAGCCCAAAGAGGACAATATTTACTAGTGGTGGGTTTGAGCTATTACAAGTTCTCTCTCTTATATTCCCTTCATATGGTTGTATATTTGCAGGCTTGTGCCATCTTACAGGCCGTGAGCCATCTTGGTGTTAAAACATACCTTGTCACCGTTGCAGCATGGCTTCTCCTGATCGTGGTACTCGCATTCTTTATCCATGTACTGGATAATGTAATCGAAACCGTATATGTATGCTATGCTATTGACAGGGACAGAGGTGCAGTGTGCAAACAAGATGTCCATGAGGTTTATGTTCACCTACCCATTAGCAGGAATCACAGATCATCTCTGGTAACTTCTTCACTCCTTGTATAATAAATTGTACTGCAATTCACATAGTATGATGGTTCTGCAGATGACTGTTTGAATATGCTATTCTGTGTATAATGAGTTGTCACCCTGTACATTTTGAGCCTTTTCCCCCCACTTTTAAGGTGTGTCTTTAGTGGACAAGATTGCCAATTTATTTCATGAAAATAGAATAAAAAGCTTTAGGTCTTGTTGTTTTATCCTGTGATGATCACTTGTAACTGAAGGCGGAGCCCTTGTGCACTGTTCATACTCATACAGAACATTTGTTATGGTTAGGATCAGGCAGTGATGATCAAAAGATTGGGGCTGTATTTGTTTATATCAGCCTCAAGTCATCATTGGAGCTGTTAAAACTTGAATAAACTGGGCTGACTGATAAGAACATTCAAACGGGAATTGAATTCTCTAAAACCTAATTTACCGTTGTTCTTCAGTTGCTCAGTGCAAACTCGAATAGGAGATGAACTAGTGACCAGGTTAGCTGAGCCCGTGAAGTAAATCATCGCACCTACGGTCCAACCAATTGGGAGAGAATCAATAGATTCCTTTTCGGGAGCGATTGGTATTTGTTAGTCATACACCTCTATAGGCACTGCTCTAATTTTGAGAATACTAGGAATAGGTATGGAGTTCGTTAAAAACGAAACAACTTGTATGTAGGAAACTGTGTAACAGCTCCAGCCTACTGCCAGTAGATATTGTTTGTTTTGGTACATTACATATCGCCGTCAGTCTCATGGTTTTAAAATACGTCTACTAGGGAGAGGTTTTCACACTCATTCGTTCCCTTTTCCAACCGATGTGAGATCTTATAATCCACTCCATTTGGGGTTCCAGCGTCTTTGCTGGCACACGGCTCGGTGGCTCTGATACTATTTGTAACAGCCCAAGCCTACTATTAGCATATATTGTCCGTTTTGGCTCATTACGTATTGCCGTTAGTCTTACAGTTTTAAAATTCGTCTACTAAAGAAAGGTTTCCACACTCTTACATGGAATGTTTCGTTCCCCTCACCGACCAATATGAGATCTCACAATTCACCCCTCTTAGGGACCCAGCGTACTCGTTGGCACTCTGCCCCATGTCTAGCTCTGATACCATTTGTAACAGCTCAAGCCCACTTTAGCCCATTACGTTATCATCGTGAGTCTCACAGTTTTAAAATGTGTCAAATAGGGAAAGGTTTCCACACCCTTGTAAGGAATGTTTCGTTTTGCTCTCCAATCGATATAGGATCTCACATTTTGAGAATAGTACGTTGAGAACCGGGAGAAAGAAATTAGAGTAACTCCATTAGAAAGAAGCCATAGATTTGTTGAGGACACAGCTAGCAGATAAACATCAGAACCTCCTCATCTGCCTTCTTCCATCTCCATCATCAGTCTCTCTCAGCTTCATTATTTGGACCACCTCTCTCTTTTCTTCCACTTTTTATTGGACTCTTCTCTTTGTACTCTTATCTCCCAATTGGACCGTCCGTTTTGTCCGGTAAACCTTTTCATAGTTTCACGATGGTATGATATCGTCCATTTTCAATCTGTATTTGCATGACTTTGTTTTTTGTTTCGCTCATCTAACTTAGTACAGATAGAAACATTTGACAGTCTCTCGTGTACGTTACATGTAGTAACGTACACTATGTTCATGTCTCAAACAACCCTCTCTTCTAATATGAGCTAACCCCAGACTCATTTTCACTGGTAATCGTCAATCAACCATACACACCGCTCATCATACTATAGGAGTTGGTCATGTCCGAAGTCATTACCCTAATCTCAAGGAGAGGGATGTCGGAAAAGTCAAAAGCTTGAGATTACAAAAACGACCTTTCATGTCGAGAGTTGGTGAAAGTAGAATGGTTAGGGAAACATCCCCACACACAAAGGAATGATGCCACTGTGTTCCTCCAGACAAATCCATGGAAAACCTCAAACACCTTTTTAGAACCAATGATAAAGGACTGAAATTACATTGAATCATAATAATAAAAGATTCAACCTATCCGTGATTGGCTCACTGCAATTTTTTTTTTGAAAAAATTTGTGATCATTACATAAATTTTTTTGGCTCCTTTGCTTCAACGCAAAGACTTATGTATAGAGAAACACGAAGAAAGAGGTATGGAGGATATGGTCGTGTGATCCCTTACCATAACGCCATAAAATATGTATTAAGGGTGCTCGAAGAACACGATGATCTAAAAACTCGATCAACTCAAAATTAAATTGGGTTCCGAAGTTAGGTTAAAAAAATTAAAATTTTATGAATTAATTTGATTCATAAGTTTCCCTGAAACTAGATTGAGCCGAATAAAACCAACTTGCATTCTTGTTAATTTTAATAAAAAAAAAATATTTATAATATAATTATATATTTTTATTTTATTTTATAATTTTGACTATTTAGAAAGTAATTTTTTCAATATATGTCGGAAGTAATTCTTAATTAAATGTTTGAAAATAAATAAATATGCGTTTTGTCTACTAACATTTTACTTTTAATTTAAAAAAATGAATAAATGGCTCGAATCGATTGGACCCAAAAATTTAATTGTTGGGTTGTATTCATTATTTAACGAGAGTTGCTTGGATTGAAAAAATGACAGGTTGAACAATTGGGTCGGACTTAAAAAAATGTTTCGACTCATCCCGACCCAACTCACGAACACCCTTAATATGTACTCTCAACTGAACTAAATTAACAATAATAATAATGATAAAAAGATTCAAATAAAAATGGAACTTTTATAAAACATTTTGGTAGAGTAGGCTTTTTGAAATTATTTTTTATTGAATTTTTAGTACAATGATAGCTTTAAAACATGTTCCCCTAATATGTGACATAATTCACTAAATCATAAACCACTATAATACTCATTTTAGTATATTATCAAATTATTAAATTATAATAATTAAAAATATTATATATATATATATATATATATATATATATATATATATTCCATTTTTTATTTAAATAATATAATAATCTATTGAAAGAAAATTCCATAATTATTAAGATTTAATCCAACAATGATAAAATATTTTATCTTATTTCGGATATTATTAATAATTAGTTTAAATTCGATTTTATTTTAAATTTTTAAATTTGATCTATTTTATAAAAGATTTGATGATGGTTAAATCGTAATTATGTGCAATTGATAGGGGTATTTTGGTAAGGCGATCTTTATATAAAGCCCCAACTCGGTTCGCTTTCACTCGCGGTAGTCAATTTTCAGAGTTCCGAGAGTGTTCACAGACCAGTTCCCGACGAGACCTAACAATGGCGATGGCTTTCAAGATGGTAATAATTTATACACTTCACGGTTATAATCTCTTCTGTATGTATATTTTTTTTTTTCAATTTTTTATGAAATTATGATTCTGATTTGATTTGTTAACGACGAATCTCAGGCAACCACTGGAATGTGGGTGAGCGATGAGTGCAAGAACTCGTTTATGGAGATGAAATGGAAGAAGGTGCATAGGTATATTGTGTTTAAGATCGATGAAGGATCGAGGTTAGTCACCGTTGACAAGGTCGGTGGTCCGGCCGAAAGCTACGATGATCTAACTGCCTCATTGCCGAATGACGACTGTCGATACGCAGTGTTCGATTTCGACTTCGTCACCGTTGATAATTGCCGAAAGAGCAAGATCTTCTTCATCGCGTGGTATGTTGCGCGATTATTTTCTGTTTTTCGTCGATTGCATCCGTCTCATTCATCTAACCTCTATTTCCGTAGAATCGTTCAATTCTCTCTGATAACTTGAATAGCTATGTGGAAATCCTGATGAATTCGACTCAAAATTTCCTCGAATTCGTAATCTCTAGTATGTTGCGCGATTATTTTCTGTTTTTCGTCGATTGCATCCCTCCTTCATTCATCTAACCTCTGTTTCCGTAGAATCGTTCAATTCTCTCTGATTACTTGAATAGCTACACGAAGCTTCTCTTTATGCGGAAATCCTGATGAATTCGACTCAAAATTTCCTCGAATTCATAATCTCTAGTCCTGTTACAGTATCTAGTTAATTAGGTATTGAGAGCAGCAGCATAATCGCACTACTGATCGTAATCGGAATTCTAATTCATTATTTGATTATTCATTTTTCTCTTCAAAGAATTTGACATCGAGTATAGTAATTGATTTTAAAATAGGATGGATCTGAATCTGAAACTCAAACTAAAACCGATCGATTGGTTTGATATGATACAGGTCGCCCACCGCATCAAGAATTAGAGCAAAAATTCTATACGCAACTTCGAAAGCCGGGCTGAGGAGAGTGCTGGAAGGCATTCATTACGAGGTTCAAGCAACCGATCCAACTGAGATGGGGATGGATGTGATCAAGGACAGAGCCAAATAGATCAAAAAAAAAAAAAAAAAAAGGTAATCAATCTTTAGGCATCTTTTACTTTGGGTTTCTAATAATGAATCACCACTCCAACCACATCCATTATCTGCTTTTCATTCTTTGTTTGTTCACTTTTTTGCCTTTTACTTTGTGTTTTTAGATTTTGAGCTCTAATGTAATTAAAAGTAAGATAAAAGAAAATTATCTTCCAATGTTGAGAACAATTAAAGCCCCTTTTCCTTGTATTGGCTTGACTCTTGAAAAGGTGAGCTTATAATCTATCTGGTGTATAATTTGATCTACTAATTGTAACAGAATTATATATTAAGGCTACATTTTATGCAATTATTTGTAAATATCATAGACTTGGAATTTAATATTATATTAATATATAAATATATATTTGTTTAAAAGCTTTAAAAGCTATGAAATTAATATATCATCCAACATACTCTATTGATTTTAATGTAATGAACTAATTTATATTGTATTATTTACATTATTATGGTACAATGCTTTATATTCAAAGCATAAAAGGTATTATTGCTGGGTGGATAATCACGGACAATGACTTAGGAACATAAATGTGTTAAGAGGTTTAAAGAAGGGGACGCGATGGTACTTCCTTTTTCGACACGAAAATAAAAGGAAAATAATTATATGAATTATTCTAAGGAACCCTCATCTAATAATTATACTTTTTCCTGCTTTCAATAAGTCTTAAAATGTAAACTTTATAGAATGAAACGGGATAAAGCCTAATTTAATTTCAAAGTTCATGTACTAAAATCATAATCTTTATCGGGTATATATACATATAAACATGTTATTATTGTTAGACGAACACGACTCTCTACAATGGTATGATATTGTCCACTTTGAGTATAAGCTCTCATGGCTTTGCTTTGGGCTTCCAAATTGGAGAGAGTATCGTTTGTTTATAAGTCCATGATCATTCCCTAAATTAGCTGGTCGGACTTACATGCATCATATCATCCAACAATTATTATATTAAAACGTAGATCGTTTCATAAATAGAATGGAAATGAATTTTTTAAAAAAAAAACAATATTGTTTACCAGTACATATTATTATGTGAAATATGAAAATTTGGCCAAATTTCTATTTAAAAATATTTATATAAAATTGGAATCTCACTCCAAAACTTATTTTTAAAAATAAAATATATAATATTATTTAAAACTATGGCGGTGTGTTTTCTAAAATTAATATCAATTTTGATAATGAGATAATAGTGAAATTAATTTCGCGTCGTATGAAAGGCTGTCTATAGGCCCGTTTTAATTTAATAATGGGCCCCCAAGGAGGCCCAAAACCGGTCCACATGATTTCGTGCCTATTGGCCCATTTTGATATGTGATTGGACATTAGAGATATTATGGGTCTCTCTTCACAAATAAAAAATAGTAATTAAAATAAAAATTTCCATATTGGACGAGAGATAAAACCATCAACTTTAAAACGCTATAAAATTATTTAAATAAACGATCGAACATTCCAAATAAATAATTTTTTTTAGTAGGATTCTAAATGTAAATTTTGATTAATCAAAATTTAAAATATATATAATATTATTACAAAACATGTAAATGGCAAGATTTCCGACCATTTTCTTTGGGCATTTACTCAAAATTTTGGCTTTTTTGCTTTTCTTTTTTCTTTTTCTTTTTTTTTTTTTTTTTTTTTTTTTTTTTTTTTTTCCTTAGTAAATAAGTCTTATTTATATCACTTTCTCTTATAAATTTACAGTGGAAATAAATTAATCTGAATAACAAAATTTAGCGAGAAACACGGAGGAAACTTTTGACCAACTTTCCAGCTAATAATTTAATTTTTTTTTTTATTAAAAAATCTGAAAATATCTAACTGAGAATGGGACCCACCGAACACAAGAACCAACGATAGCATGTTTGCCACGAGGATGTAGGGTGGGATGAAGATGAGATCACGACCGTCCAGATAGTGGGTTCTAGTTTCATTGGACAGTTGGATGAATGGGTACACGATAATGATCGGTGCAACCTGTATCACTGGATCTCCTCTCTTTCACCCTACTCTTATCTTCAGTTATGTTCTCTTTTGGCAAAGACCAAAAACACAAAATGCACGCCGTTTCATGCCACGCGATCTCCGGCGCGTGCTTTTCACTTCTCTCCCAAATCAATTATTTTATTCTCTTTATTTGAATTTATATAACGAAGTCACTCATTTACACTACTTCATTCAAACTATAAATATTGAACTAATTTTTTTTTTTTTTTTCAATTTGGATTGAATTAAATTTTTTAAATGAAATTTTAGATGGATTCGTATATTGATATATTTTCGTTGTCAGGTAACAACTCCAACTAATCTTAATTTTAAGATTATCATAAAAATTAAGAACATTTGATATTTGTAACCGGTGTCAATGATGCATCCTAACTTATAGAAGGTTGGGTTAGGTTGGGTTGCGAACTATATTTAGTTTAGTAATCCAACCGGCCCCAAAATTTGAGTTGGTTTAAAAGATTTGGTCAACCCAATTCAACTTAGATACCCTTTTAATAGTATTTTTTTTTTAAATTAAACTGTAAAGTATTTAAATTCAAACTCCAAGTTAAGAATATATGTTTTAAATACGATAACTCGTAATAAAAATTTCAGGGTTAATAAAGACAACTCAAGACGAATGAATTGGGGTTTAAGTTAAGGTAAAGTTACATGAAATATCTAACACGGTCAGGTGCTAAATCCAACCACCTACCGATTATCATACTGAAACTATGTACTAAAAAAAATGTGAATAATGAGAGGAAAATAACGATTATAATAAAGAAAATGGAAATTTCCATAAAAATAGGATTTTTGGGTTGGGAGCTATTATAAGTGAAACATAAATTAAATGAGTTTTCAACAACAACAAAAAATAATTAAAAAAAAAATTAAATCAATTAATAATCATTTCTCATAAAATCTTATACGAAAATATCTAAACAAAATATTATTACATTATGTTAATAATTTACATTAAAGTGGAAATTATTAAAAAAAAGAAATAATTTAATTTAATTAATTAAAAGGGGAAGAAAAAGAAAAAGAAAAAGCCTGACCTTGTTGTTATTATTCGATTCCATCTGATGGGGCTTTTTGTCAACCCCACGATCCAACGGCTATGATTATTGATGAATGCGTACAATTATTCCTGTTTTCCCCCCTGTTTTTTTCAATAATTCCTGAAATGCCTATCTAATTTTACATATTTATGAAAGTGACCCCTCGATTTCCACGGACCATTACTTTTTTAATTTCCTTTAACTTTTCCGTTTTTGAATTTAAATAAAACAATTCAAATGGTTAGGAACGACGTCGTTTTGAGCAAATCTAATTGTACTTTCTTTGGGCCCCACGACCAAAACATGCTGACTCATCAAATCCCCTTTGACGACAAAAATAATAATAATAAAAAAAAATAATAAATCGTTTATTGTTTTTTTAATTTAAATAAATAAATAAATAAATAATTAAGAGAATTAAAACTGTCTTTTGCCGGTTATATTTTCCCCCAATTCTTCTTTGTCGGCGTATTCACTCTCCATTTCCACTCTCTAATGGCCGCTTATCTCTCCCCTCTCTTCTTCTTCTTCTTCTTCTTCTTCCTTTTGATTGTTCATCGATTTACAGTTTCGGCCGATTCGCCATTGAAGAAGACCTTCATCTTCCGTGTGGATCGTTTCTCTAAGCCCTCTGTTTTTCCGACCCATTACCACTGGTACACTTCTGAGTTTGCAGAATCCCACAAAATCCTCCATGTTTACGACACCGTTTTCCATGGATTCTCTGCAACTCTTACTCAACAACAAGTTGATTCCATCGGGAAACACCCTTCTGTGCTTGCCGTTTTTGAGGATCGTCGCCGGCAGCTTCACACCACCCGTTCCCCTCAGTTTCTTGGCCTTCGAAACCAGCGTGGTCTCTGGTCGGATTCTGATTATGGGTCGGATGTAATCATTGGGGTTTTCGACACTGGGATTTCCCCTGAACGGCGGAGCTTCTCCGATGTGAATTTGGGGCCGATTCCTCGGCGGTGGAAGGGGGTTTGTGAGACGGGAACTAAGTTCACGGCTAGAAACTGTAATAGGAAGATCGTCGGTGCGAGGTTTTTCTCTAAGGGTCATGAAGCTGGGTCCAACGCTGCTGGTCCGATTATTGGGATTAACGATACGATTGAGTTTAGATCTCCGAGAGATGCCGACGGCCATGGGACTCATACGGCCTCCACGGCGGCTGGACGGCATGCGTTTCAGGCGAGTTTGGAGGGTTTTGCTTCTGGGATAGCGAAGGGTGTGGCTCCTAAAGCGCGTTTGGCGGTTTATAAAGTTTGTTGGAAAAATTCTGGTTGTTTTGATTCTGACATTCTTGCGGCGTTTGATGCGGCGGTTAACGACGGCGTGGATGTCATTTCGATCTCGATTGGAGGCGGCGATGGGGTTTCCTCGCCGTATTATCTCGACCCAATTGCAATCGGAGCGTACGGCGCCGCTTCCAGGGGTATCTTCGTTTCGTCTTCGGCTGGGAATGATGGACCTAATGGAATGTCAGTGACGAACTTGGCGCCGTGGGTTACGACCGTTGGAGCCGGTACGATTGACCGTAATTTCCCGGCGGTGGTGACTCTGGGTAACGGACGGAGGATTTCCGGCGTGTCACTCTACGCCGGAGCGCCTTTGAACGGTACAATGTTTCCATTGGTTTACCCTGGGAAATCAGGGGTGCTCTCTGTTTCGCTCTGTATGGATAACTCTCTCGATCCTAAGGTTGTTGCCGGAAAAATTGTGATCTGCGACAGGGGAAGTAGTCCCAGAGTGGCTAAGGGTTTGGTCGTTAAGAAAGCTGGCGGCGTCGGAATGATTCTGGCGAATGGAATCTCAAACGGCGAAGGACTCGTCGGCGATGCCCATCTTCTCCCCGCCTGCGCAGTCGGCTCCGACGAAGGCGATTCCATGAAAGCCTACGCATCGTCCTCTCCAAATCCCACAGCTACCATCGCCTTCCAGGGCACTATAATCGGAATCAAACCGGCGCCGGTGGTGGCTTCCTTCTCAGCAAGAGGGCCAAATGGATTAAACCCAGAAATTCTAAAACCAGACATAATCGCACCAGGGGTTAACATTCTCGCCGCCTGGACCGACGCTGTCGGTCCAACCGGTTTGGACTTTGATACAAGAAAAACAGAGTTCAACATCTTGTCTGGTACATCAATGGCGTGTCCTCATGTAAGTGGTGCCGCTGCTCTGTTGAAATCAGCTCACCCAGATTGGAGTCCAGCGGCGTTAAGATCCGCCATGATGACCAC